ATATGTTAAACCTAGTTAATGCAGTCTCACGTTTAAGAGCAACTGTTTCTTCTTCACTTCAGATACTTTTCCATGCTCAGTAACTATTTTGCTAGCTGCAGCGTGCAAATTCCTCAATTTACTTTCCAGCACTACTTACACATCTGTAGTATGTATACTGTGTACATATATATGCTATATATACTGTGGTATAGATGAGTGCCACAGGGTGTGCATATTTTGTGTATCTCTTTACTTCAACCCACTTTCCTAAACCCTATTCAGTGCAGCCTCACAAGAAAGTTTCCAATCTCTGTTGCAATATCTTGTAGAGCGGTAAATAAAGAGGCAATAGATAATAAATGGGGAATTATTTTTATCACATCTTTTTTGAAAACAGTATGCTACCGTTGCCTGTCCCCTCTGTCTGCATTTTTCCTAGTGGTCATCTTAGTAGATTCAGTTTATAGACTGGGATGCTCACTGCTTCTGAGAGAAGTTCCTTCTGTGAAGACATATATATATTAAGTAAAACTCTGTTTGAATAGTTTTGCAGAATTAGATCCTAATTCTCCAGTGTTAACCTTTGAAATTCTGCCCATTTTGTAAATAACCAAGCTAATGGAAAGACTTTCTGTTACCCTTCGTATCTCTGCTCTGAATCTAGGTTTTGTCTGCCTTTGAGGTACGTATTTATAAAAAATTAACCCCTGTTTTTCTCTTAAGAAAATGTTCTAAAACATAGTAAATATTAAGAGTTAAACTGTCTGGATTTGACACTTGATTTTCTGTAGCCCTTTTCCATTAGTCAAAGCTAGATTTAAATATATAATTTAAAGGTAACAGTAACACCAGCTATTTACTTGCCAAGCAGTTTTTTTTTTTAAGTTTTCTCTGACATGCTTTTATTTTTGTTTTGTAATAAAGCAGCAGCTCATAATTAATATTATGGGTATTAGCAGGTATTCAAATCTACAGAGAAAAATAATGCTAATACAAAATGTGCCGATCTGTTTTGGAATGTTTCCTTATGCTAGCATTAAGTAGGTGCATATGCACACACCCAGTTAGTACTTTATTGTATTGTGAGTTGCCATTAAAATTATACACTTTTATCAGTAAATAGAATAGTCAATTTGGACGAAAATAGGATAACTGTGTGTAAACAATAACAGCTAATGAAACACCATGCTAGAGTACTGCTAGTACAGAGCAGGAAATGCCTAAGTGAGGGGAAAAAAAATCCATGCGGCCGCTAGTATAAAATGGGTGCGTAAAGACGTTAAATTCAGCCTCTATAAGGAGCTTATTTGCTGTCAGATCAAGTAATAATTTTGTTTCCATTATTTAACTTTGAAAACAAATGCATCTTTTTGACAAGAATATACATGTTGCCAATCAGTTGTTTTTCTTCTGTTCAAAACAGCATCTTTTGCTTTAGAATGGCTCTTGGAGTAGCTCATGTTTGTTTCAAACCTCTTTGTTACAGAACTGTGCAAAGGGAGAGGCGGGCCTGGTACAACTGTAACTCTTCAAAAGAGATAACTTCTAACATGAAGTATAGCATTTGTATTCCATTCTTTGAAGCTATTGGATTAAACTGTAATTAATTGGGTCGGTTAGTGTCTTTTCTTACAGAGGTTTAACACCATAATTTTAAACTCAACAATTTGGGAAGCTGCATATACTTGGTTACTAAGTTTCTTTTCAGCTCGGTTAGCTTTGTAAATTGAAGTATTATCTTTTCCCAGGTTTTGACAAGAATATTGGCATGGTTGTCAACCACCAAACAAGAGACTCCAAGCACGTATCTGGAAAACCTATATTAGACAACAACGCAGTAAATCTGTTTTCTTCTGTAATCATTGCTTTGGTGCTTCCAAGTGTGGCATGGGGTTTCTGGCCAAGAGGTTGAAGTGGTTGAAAGTTTTTCTGTATGTGACTCAGTGTTGTTGAGCCTTACTCAAAGACTCTTACGAGTGCTCTTTGGATGCTCTTGAGGAGAGGGGTCTGCAACCATCAGAGCCAAAGGACTTTCCATCACAATTTCTTTAGGCTATAAGCTTCATATGGCAGTTGCCATCTGTCAGGGTGAAGAAGGGATTTTTGTCAATATGCTCCTGCTGCTTTTCAAGTGGATGTTGATCACTGCTAAGCGAGGTGAAGCAGTTCATTTATCCTTACGGAGCTGAAGTGGGCATCCGTGTTTTCTACGGTCCACAGATTCTGGAAGACCAAGAAACTGGCATTAGATGCTTAATCTACATCTACCAGCATGATGGAGTATTGTGGCTACTGTCTAAGCCCAGCACAAAGTACTCTAGGTTGGCGGTGGTAACACGGGTGAAATCAATGAATTCTGGTATAATATTTCCCATGATCTCCTATAGGATGTAAGATTTCATGGAAATAATTTGAAATCTTAAAAAAAAAAAAAGAAAAAAGTGTTTGAAAAAAAGACTAAATTTAAAATAAAAACTTGACAGTTTTTCCAGTAAGAATAATAAATTTGACTTTGTTTTATACAAATCTTTAGAATTCTTTATTTCCAAACTAAAAATATTTATAAGGGTTGTTAGCCCTGTTGTAATGTGTTACTTATTAAATTATCTAAATATGATAGTTTCAATTTTTGTTTGTTTGTTTAGCAATATGAACGTCATTTCTGTAATATTTAGGATATTGACCAAAATATTTTCTGTAGATTCTTTCTCAGTAGTGTCACTTCTTTCCATTTTCTTTGGGGTTGCTTTTTAGTGATGATAGTCTCAACCGAAGAAGCCACAGAGGTTCTTTGTGGTGAATGGGGAGAGTCTCATCTCTAAAGCATTTCAAAATGGGAATTTAACTTTTAGTGCTTAGATTGCTGTATTAGAGGAGTCCGTCTTTCACCATTAATTATAGAAGATATGGAAGTGACTTAGCCAGCACAGATTGTGCTGAAACCTTATGAATACCCTCTTGATAACCTCTCACTGGAGACATTCAGAAGGTAGGGCCTGCACTGTTAACTTCTAAAATCCTTTTTTTCTTTTTATCTTCATAAATAGATGAGCATTTTACATTAAATACCAGATTTTTACAAGCATTCTGTATATGTTGCCTGTCCTGATTCCCTTGAGTTAAGTATTATGCCACCTTTTATGAGAACATTTAAAATTATAAAAACACCTTCCATTTTGAGTTTACTTGTTTGAAATCTGCTCTATATAAATCTGGAATTTAGCACTGGAACTTGTAAACTGTATTACCCAGTTATATATACAAGATTTCAAACTAGTGAAAGCTTTCAGAAAAGAATGATTTTGTGGCTGCTGTATTTCAGTTGCTTCTGTAGTAAGGTGCAAAATTATAAAAGGAATATAAGTACTTAAACTATAACTATAAACACACAAAGTCTTTATTAATTGTTTGGATTTAGGCTGCCTCTAAATAAACATTAATCTTTTTAAATATTTTATTAATACTGTTGTGATTTCTGGAATTAACACACTGAATTCTTTTAACATAATTTTTCTTTCAATTAAACAGCTTATATTTTTAAATACTTTTGATACCTGAAACAAAATACATTTTCAAACACTGAAGTAGACTTTTAGTCAACTTTTCATTAATTGGGTCATACTTTTGAAATAGCTTACTGCAGTGAGAAGACATCTATAATTTCAAATTCATAGCAGCATGAAATGCTTTCATCTGTTATCATATGCATTAATGTGATCTGAATGAACTGCTGCAGGTAGGACCTTCAAAGGCCATTATCAAGAATTTTATCTTTGTCATATTTTCTTAGTGATGACACTGAGTTGCTTTTGAAATTCCCACTCCTAAATCTTCAGTATTTAGAAAGATCTGAGCGCTCTGAAGAGAACAATGTTAACTCCAGGTGTATTATTTTGAATGGGGGTAGACCTTACACAAATTTTCCTACATTTAGCTTCTTTCATTTAGTAACTATAGAATTGTTAGCCCCCCCCTACCCCCCCCCACCAAGAGAGGACACAGGGAGAAAGTTATGTGACTTAGTGCCTGTAAATTGGTGTGTGTCTCTAATTAGCACTTATTGGGATCAGAAAGAGCAAGCAGGAATACTACCCATCCACAAGATACTTGGAGAGATTAAAAAAAAAAAAAAGTAAAGGGGGGAGTAAAAGGGCAAGTGATTAAAAATAGGAGGAGCTAGGACAAAAACAAGGAAATTTATGGAAAAGATTTGAAGGTGCAAAAAAGGTCAATGCATTATGCAAATTTATTTTCATCCTTTAAAAACATTTGAATATTTATTTTCCTTCAGAGCCACTGATACATTTAGTTTATGAGAAATCTGCCACTAATTTTCCTTTCATTCATTCATATTTCCATAGCATCAAGAGGACATATTGGGTTATCTTTTTTTTTTTTTTTTTTAACTGAAGAGTTGCAATTATGAAGCCTTGAATCTCATTCTCCGTATGGCTTTAGATGTTACGTAAGTTCAACTAAAAGTGAGTGTAGCTATACTTACGACATAATTTATGCTTAATAAATAACATTTTGCAATCTCTCTGTGCGTGAGAAATCTTTAGCCAGATTTGGTTTAGGCTTAGTGTATTGAATCTGAATGTTTAAGAATACTGATATCACAATCACGGATATATCACTGAATTATTTGTGTAAGTCTTTTTATTTTGCTGTTTCTAACCAGCTGACATTCAGAAGACTGTCGTCTTTGACAATAAAGGGTTGAAATGTCTTAAAATACTGTTGGCAGTTTACAGAAGCTGTTTTGGGAAATGGATAAATGAGGCAGTAGATCGATGTTCACATTAAAATCTGTTAGGACTGGGTGTCACAGATTTGTAAGTAGGACTTGTTTTCCCTCTCTTCTCCTGACAGTGCTTTGGACTCCACCCAGCCTTTTTAAAACTTAATTATCTGGCATCTTAAATTGCAGCAAGTCACCCTCTTCAAGGAGGAGTCAATCTACTTTGCAGAAAGTTTATTCACTTAAAGCTTTGTAGGTACACTCCAATCTCTGCTTCTGGCAGTTCTGCCGGTGTTGTCAGATGTTTTGTTGCTTCACACCAGGGCCAACTGTGTAAGGACCTCTGTGCCTTCCTGTGCTCTAAAATTGTAACTGGATAACATCTCTCCGTTTAAAGGCTGGTTTTATTTTGGGTGCGTTGGTGCGGCTCTCAGAATGATGTGCCTTTGTAATGGGTGGTTCACTCAGACTCCGTAGATCCCTGCACTGTTTCCAGGCTTGGAGCCACCTTTGGTAAATTTTAGCGTATCCCAAATGAAGATGAAATACGGGAAGGTAGAAATAAAGCTGTTAGGCAAATGCCTGTTCTTACTTAAGTGCTGCTCCCAAGTCTGTTGAGCTCTGAGTTAAAGCAATTTCCAGCAGAGAACAACTTCCACCCACAATGAGGGACTAGATGAATATTATCACCTTGCCACTGCAGCCGAGAACTAAATGGCAAAATTTTCCTCAAAGCACGTAAGAAGGCAGATACACAGGAAACTAGAGGACCAAGGTTATGTGAGTTCTGACCAGGACACTTTCCATGAGACTGATACTGTGAAGTAGTAATGTCATGCATTGCAATGTCACTTTGCAAGTCTTTGGAATAAATGTGCCCTCTTTGTTTGCTCTATGCTGCTCTGGGATCCCTCCCCTTAGAGTAGGAGCAAGCTCCCTTCCTAATCTAAGAGGCTGACTGAGGAAGAAAAGACTGGGTTTGCTGAAATACAGAAAAACCAGTCTGACCTGTACTGAGGGAAGAGGTTTTGGAAAGGGCAATACCAACCACCAATCAGCAGACAACTCTCAGCCTGCGGGGAGCTACCTGGCTGGACTCACAGAGTCACCTCTGAAGCCTTGTGCAACTTCTTTGCCTCTCTTTCCTGCTGTTTGCTTTTTTGTGGCTTTGTTCAAACAAGCATAAAACAAGATGAAACATGGCAATGTGGTCGCCATCCAAATTGGGCTTGGAGGTTCAAACTGACACGTTTAGCGAGGATGGTAACAGTTTAAAAGAAATGCAAATTTATTCTGCGTTTAGAGAACATATCAGTGAAGGAAATAAAGCAGTAATAAAAGTCTTTTGGGTCTCATTTCTTAATAGTCTCTAGTAACTTTTCAGTAACTGCATTTTGTAAGGATTTTGCAACAAAGCTAGGAAGGTAGAAGGGCATCCTAAAAGCTCATATTGGCCCTAGGAAGAAACTTTATATAAATATATAATGTAAAAGCGTACACCACTGCACAAACCTCTTGTTATAAAGGCTGAGCTCTGCACTGCAACCTTGCATGGTTCTGCAAACTGTGGAGAATACACTGCTTTTTAACCTGCCTTTCAAGTAACCTAACTATAGGCTGCACGCTAACCTTTGAGTTCCCAAAGTGTTCATTTCTGTAAATGCATCAGTCAGTCTCTAGCCTTACAACCCAGCACAGCTGCACTCTCTTAAAAGCTTGCAAGTCTTCCTGAAAGAAGGCCAGATCACTGCTTCTCATCAATACCTGCCTGCTAGCAGTCACAGGGACGAGAGCACTGGATACACTGTGTTGTTTCTTCTCGACAGGCTCTTACTGGAATGATCTGTGCAGAGTTCAGCCCAGCGCAAGAGAAGTAGTGACCTTTGTCATCCTCATTCTTTTTGTTACCACTACTCATTATTCTGATTCTGCATTGTTCCATTTGATGACTTGCTAAGTCCTGAAATCATTCCACTGATGAAAGCTGCTATTATTAAATGCTCTCCCAAAGTGATGGTGCTTTGTTTGCTCTTCTACCTGCACTGTATTGCTGTGGCATCCTAGTCTGCCTTAAACTACTAAAGGCCTCTGGCTTTGCTACTCCCATTATCACCTTGCCATATTAAGTAAGTGTTTCCTCCTTATACAATTTAAAAGGCAAAAGTGAAAGCAGATGATTTACAATGCATTGGGATAAGAGGCATAATTCACATCTGGAGTTCTAGAATTGCTCTGGCTTTTGGTAGGTGCCATAAGAAAAACAAGACATGTATGTCAGAGTGAACATTGCAATGAGAAGTGCCTGCCCTAGAGGCTCTATATAGTTAAACCATGCAAGCTGTGCCCGCACCCTCCCCGAAAGACTAAAAAAGTGGCCAGAGCTATTAGCACAAGACAAAATGGAGGCATATTTCAATTTATTCTACTTTGGAGTTCGAAGTTGAGCAAGCAAAAATATCCTCGCATTGGGTTGCCTGTAGATTTCTGAAAAAATACAGCGATTAATTAGGTGAATTTGGTTTGCCCTGGATTAGCATGTGTTGCATTTGCACTGGATGAACATGTATTTCACTTGGATTCAGAACTCACCTGAAATAACAGTGTAATCTAGATTTTGAGCTAAATTTCTTTTTCTCTTTTCTCTAGCGAATCTCAGCCTTTTACCATTGTTTGGATTTTTTCTACAGCAGAGAGTTAGTGGTCATCTATCTTCACTTACATACCTTTTTGTGTGAGGAACTGTCTTCATTCTTAAGGGATAACTAAGTCATGAGAAGGGATCAAGGGATAAACCTATGGATAGTTTTGAAAATGCGGGGGGACCTGCTTTGTCCAATTCTTCCTGCAGCTGTTTTTGCGTTGCAGAGCACAAGACTGACTAGCTTGATTGCAAGAGGCTCCATATTTATTGACTTGTGCGCTAAAATCCAACTTACAGAAACTCCTCCAACCCGGGCTAGTGACTTCCACCAGAAGAAATTTCTTCTTTTTGTTCACAGAATTTCAACATTTTCATAGTCAACAGACTATATTCCACTCCTGCTATTGGCACACATAAAGTGAGAGATGCTATATCTTAGATTTTTCCCCCTAATTCTTGATTATTTTCACTATAATAAGGCAGTGTCGTTACCCTTCTCTTTTTCTTGAGATTTTTGAAAATACTCTTTCTATTGAAGAAAGTAAAACTTCCCTGTGCTCTCTCAATGCTTATCCTAAAAACTAAATCACTGGTACTACAAAACCATTATCTGACCTTTTAGAAAATCCAATGCTTAAGAGCTTTTTAAGTGGCCAAACTGAAAAGAAGAAACAGATTAATGCAAGAGCTGGTGTTTTATTAAAGAATGCAAAGGAATATATCTTTTAGCAGTGCCCTGGATTCCATTAGGCACTTGATAGTATTACTACTCAGCATATAAGCATTACCCTGAAGAATCAAAGGTATTAACAATTCACCTTCACTGAGATTTGTACATACCACAACAGTAAAATATTTCTAGATTTAACAGGCACATAGAAAAGTGCTTTTTGACATCTTCTCTAATTTTCAAAAATTAAAACTGTCAAGAATCTCTGAGAACTAGTCATTTGCTGAAGTTAAGATTCTGCTGTTTGCATAATTTGTTTGACTTGAAAGGGATGGTCTTTTTCTTCATACCATTACCAGGATAACATTTTGTTCAAAGGCTACTCAATTCTTTTTGCCTGAAAAACAAGCATTAAAAACTTTAGCCCAAAAGAATCTTTTAAAGTTCAAAGGGAGTTGAAATAGTGGAAACTTACATCAACTCTATGATACCACCTAAATTCCCTTAAATGATGTCTGTATGCACTAGCAGATCTACTTTGGTGTTTAAGTTAGAAGGTGAGAGAAAAAGGATTAGGGCAGTAATGAATATATATCAGTCTACGCCCATGTTTACAAATCCAAAAATATCACCTCTACTGTATGCCATTATCAGCCGTTACTGCTTGTCCTTGACAATTACAATGACTGAGGGAATTTTTAAACTGTTAAAAGTCTGCAACTTGAGAAATGTATTCTTTCCTGCTTATTTTCTCCCATTCTCTCAAGAGCTGGGTTTTCTTCATCCTTCCTTTATCTCTTTCTGCTTCCTTTATCTCTTTCCGTTTCAGTGACCTAGCTCTCAGACTGGGATCTGCAGCTGTTCTTTAGCGCTCGTGAACGTGAATTAGAGGAACCACAGGAGAGTGCCTCTGTTCATTAGCAGCAGGTACACAGTTAGTGGCTACACTTTTGCACACGTGCAAAGACTTGACATGGTGCAAGACTGATATGTCCTGTGCAATTATTTTTCCTTTACTAGCATAAGCAGTTATTTTAAAATACTGCTTGATATTCTCTGGGGCCTATAATCTCTCTCTTC